AACCGAACAAAAATTCTCTTTCTTCCTATTCTCTCTTTTCAACCCTCTCTGTTTTTAATCGAACGGCCCGACTACAAGAGCGATAAATAACAACGGCGAGAAATAATTTTCGGGCTTTCAATGGGATTACCGTGACTTTGTCACGCACGACCCGATAATTAACCCTCTCGCGCTCTGTCTGTCTCTCTTTCTCTCTCTTTCTCTCTCTCTCTCTCTCTGGCCACCCTCCCGCGTCCCTGTCCGCCCTCCGCCCTCCGAGCCGCGACTTGATTTACGCTGGCAGAGTCTCTCTGTACAGTCACAGACCGATCAAATATTATTCAATGCTCTTCAAATGAATTAACGCGAGCTGCTCCAGTCACGCACCGCGGAGCCTCGAATAACATTCGAACGAACCGCGGACGAGCGAACCGTGTCCGTGACACGGCCGACTCGCTCTCCTGTAAACGAGGCCTAATTATGACACTGTTAATCGTTCGCCGCTAGCGGCAGCCGGCTCCCCCCGCCCCCCGAGCCCGTTTTACAATGGACGTTTATCTCCGGTTAACTTGAATTAAGTAAATTTGAGAGGAGCTCGAAGCTGGAACAACGATGGGGGCGCACGGTAAATATTGTGTCTGTGGCCCGGTTCTGTTGTTCTTCTTGCTCGGCGCTCTTTGCGGAACAATAAAATCGTTAACGCGCTGATCGGCGATGCACCGACGCGCTGTATCTTCGGGGAGTTTCTTTAAGGGTGTTGACTTTGATCCGCGGTGTTTCGGTTGGATCGAATTGCGGAGGACTCGAAAGGAATTGGGCAATTAGGGTGTGCTGGGGTGAGGGTGGTCGGAGGTAAGTTTTGGTAAAGTGAATGTTGAATTTGGGAACGGCTTTTGGTGCCTAATCGATAGTTTGTAAAATAGGAAGGGTAAGGAAAGGTAGAGATACTGGGAAAATGTAATCGACAAAGGATAAATTTATTTCAATTGGATTCTGAATAGCTTTCTTTAAATTTTTATGCATCTGTTGAATCGGTACATTGATTTGATGAAATGTCAAGAGGGTAAGATAGGTAGTTAGCAATGTTGATTGAACGAAGTGTCTTGAAATAACTAAAATCTAGTGCATTATAAACAGTTTGTGTAGGCACGATGTGGAAATAATAATGGATTATAATAGATTACGATAAACAGTAGCAAGTACAGATAGAGTTATCATCCTGCTAAATGATAGACAAATGGTGATTCATTGTTATAGATCACGCTAGCTGCGGGATAAAAGCTGACGGATTATGATGAAATCTGTTGGACAGTGATAGAAGCTAGTGGACACTGAGTGATGCGACTGAATGTTGAATAGATTTTGACCCGTGCTTTTAGAATATCAGAACAATCTGACAGATAGTGATAGATTCTTTCAAATATGAATGAAATCTGCTGGATGCTCGTAAAAGTAGAATAAATTATCAAATACTAATGGATTTGATCAGCTTTTCAGAATATGCGATGGATTTTTATCAGTTCGTTTGTTAATAGAATATAAGGTTCTTGATAGATTTAGCTGCTTCGCAATAAACTCCCCGAAACTCGAGATAAATAGTAATTCATTTGCAAATTATACTAGATTTGAAATACATACTAATCAATCGACATTTTACTGTAAGGAAACATTGTAATACAACCGAACGCTAATAGATCTAAATAAATCCCAACAAATTATACCAAATACCACACAAACGACCAGCAGTTTATACGACGTCTATATGACACAGATGCTCATTAATCAATCTACATAATAAACAGCTATTCAAGTACGACATAAAGATTATAATCCCCTCAATCTGCCATACCTACCACATAACAAGCTACCTTCCAATAAACAATACAAAATACAACGAATACGAGGCAATACTATTATAGTATATTATTATAGTATAAATATCATATAAATATATCACATAAATATAATAATATTTTTAAATACATACAACTATACTAAAACATATATCATAATCAGTAGCAATTTATTCCGTAAGCGAAGAGGAACCAGCAGGTTCTACCAGCCCCTCGAAATATTCACGTCCAGAGGCCGGGTATAAAGAAGATTTTAAAACATGTCTTCACGTAGGTTCGTTTGCGTCACTCGTGCGACCGCATCGCCGAGTTGTTTTTTTACTGCACTGACCACTCGGGAGGCTCCAGGAAGTAGTAAACCAGCTAAAAGCCGCGCCCTTCTAGAGCCACGGGTTCTGTAAACTCGTACGATCAAATATTTCGACGAATGAACCGGTGTCAGCGGGAGAAAGTGCTCGGTCCTTGGGTCGTGAGGCCCCGGGACGTGAGCTTTCGTCACGGATGTTTGTGAATTATTCCGTCTAAGGACAGGAACAAGCCATCCCGTCGCGTGCAGCGACTTCCTTTAAGAAACGCCGGCCCGCCTTCACCTCTGACCCACAATGAAACCATTCTCAGGACCGTGCGAGACGTAAAAAAGCATAAACTGTGACGCGGGTTCGGCCCCTTGAACACCGACGTCGCACAGTTCGCCTGCGAATAGCACGTCGTTGTTAATATTCAAGGCGTTGCAACATGATTTTCGTCGTGCATTATGAACGACGCTGGCTGATCTGTCAGATACAGGGCGCACCGGCGGAATTTCGTTGCACGGCCACGTCTGTTTTGATTCTCTCAGCACACTTTTCCTTGGGTTCTTATGCAATTTCTTTACTGTTCTCTTGCACGGCGCGAGAAAAAATGTTGAGGAGATAGGAGGAATGGAGATGAAACATTTCTTTTACTGAATTACCGGCTGCATGTTTTGACTGACGGTTTCGCAGTAGATATGTTAATAGGGGGCTATATAATTTAACCCCTTGCATTCTAAGCGTTTTGTTTACCAGAAATGCTCAATATACTTTCTGATGAAATGTAGTCGACATTTCTTGAAGGCAACTTAACGAGGAACCGTAGATGAATTAGAGGGAGGAATGTTTTATTTTAATATTTCACATATTAATGTATCATAGGAAACTTAACATTGAATATCGTACTTCATAATTTTACTGTTACTGATTTTACCAAATCGTGAAAGAGTTAACCCTTTTGCACTCGACAATATTTTTCATTTTAAACATTCACTATTTCCTGACGAAATATAGAGTATACTTATAATACTTATAAAGAAAAGTCTTGTGTAAATTAAGAGATAAAGCTGTTTTGTTTCTATGTGTTCTGTGTTGGTAATTATTTAATATTTAGTATTGAATTTTCAATTTTATAATATTGCTGTGTTGCAAAGGGAAGTGTTCAGGAAGGTTTAAATAGAATATTAGAATAGATTTGATGAAAGTTTGTGAGTGAATGAAAAGGTTCAATAATCAATGATCTTCGTAAGACTAATTTTTTGTGCTAGGATATTTTTATGAGTTTAATGGTACAGGTATTTATAAAAATGACGAGCTTAATTTTTTCGTGATAAAATGTAAGAAATATTGAAGCATTTTAATTTAACTGCGGTATTCGCGTATTTATTTATTTATGCATGAGATTATAAAAGTATAGAGTTGTATGTTAATGGAATATGTCAAAAGTATGCATAAAGTTTTGCATACAATTCCCTCTCGAAGCCTGCGTACAATGGAAATTCTAGTACAGGTCAAAATGACCCAGCATTCGTCTGCTACGTCCGTCCGAGACCATCCGCCTTCCGAGGGTTAATGGGCTCGTGGAACCAATATAATTATATTTAATTACTTTGCAACACAAGCCTCTAAATAGAAACAAATTACAACATGAACATTCGTTTTCTTCAAGCATTATTTTGAACATTCCTGGCGCTCCCGTGAAGCTGATAATTAACACATTCGTTACCACGTGTCACGTCGGTCTAAAGCATCGATTATACATATGTTTTGATTCCGATTTGATCACGTTGTAATATTCGATAATATAAATAAATGGAGTTTCTTTTGCGTGCGACGGTAAACGTTTCATGTAATATGAATTACGATAATTTATTCATAATAAGCACGTGTATAACTGTGCGAAATTATTGTATATAAGTAACGATGTGATTTTTCTTTGAAAAATAGGGCGCCGAAATTGTTCAAGAATTCTAGTAATAAGAAGACTAATTTACAAATGATTTAATTTTATTCTTTTCATACTGGGTTCTAACTTGTTCAACAACAAAATTATATAATACATATGTAATTAAACTTAATACGCAACTATAATTGATACATTCGAACGCTTCTATTGAAAACTCGAATAGATTTTGTACTATCAAACTGTGGATGTATATGCAAACGAAAGTTTCAAGTATCACTTCAACCTAACTGTAAACAAATGTATCCCTTACTTATTTCGCTAGGAATAATCAACATAGATACTAGAAACTAACACGTTCCAAAATTCAGCATTAAAATCAAACAGCAATTCTACGAACAAAGCCAGAACCGTCCTCGCTAAATCCACCCTTCACCCACGAAATAATTCAATTACCACGCAAAACCTCTCGTCTATCTCGCAAACTCCCGACCGCCGCGGACCTCCAAAAATCCATCACTCTTATCTCTCATTTACCCAAACGAAATCCAGCTGAACAAAAAGCCTGCTAATCCCAAGCAAGCCAGCCGCAAACCGCGTCAAAATATCACACCCTAACATCACTGTCACGTGTCTCATTGTTTCAGTACTCGGCTCGTCGTCGCCGGGCCCGAGCCTTCCATCATCCCTGCGACTGGCTGTCGGCCTGTTTCTTCTGGTTGTCATTCGTTAACCACGCTGCATTCAAGTAACATGCGCTTTGGAGCTCTCATTATATAAATCGACGTGCTTGTAAAGGAAAGAAAGTCTGGGGAGGGGGGGAGAGGGCCGCTTTGTACGACGTCTCCGAGCCCGCTCGCGTGTCGCGGTCCTGAAGAACAGCGTCTTCTGGAGCCCGTTTCGGTGCGACGGCCGTCGGAACCGACGGCGGAACCATCGAGACAACGGAGGAAAGGGTAACGTTCCGCGCGGACGCGAGAGGAACGCGTCCGGTCGCGAGCGAAGGGTTCGAGCGAAGGGGAAGACAAAGAAAAAGGGGAAGAACGAAGAAAAGCGGGCGTCAGTCGCGGATGAGTCGCGCGCTGGGTCCATTCTCGGCCTTAAATCGCTCGATCGACGGACAACCTGTAGGGCAAAAAGGTATTCTCGACGGTAGAACAGCACGGCTCGAGGAATCGGAGGGGACTCACACCAGAAAACGAACATCCCGAAGAGTATTTTATTATTAGACTAACCACGGAAACGTACATACATACATTTATACATACGCGCATACGATACATACATACAATGCATACATACATACATTAATACACGTTCAACGAACACACGTACCGTGCGTACTTGCTTCCTTTTCGGCGAGATCATTGGTTTTTTCAGCAGTG